AAATCTTTCAAGGCCACATATTTACACAGCAACAACATTTGCAAGACTGCAGTCCCAGTTTGAACATGACTGTGTGTAACCCATTCAAGGTCATGATAAGGTGGAGAAAGATTACCTTCCGGAGGATGAATGTGCGAACAAGGAAGAATAATACTCCAGACATAACACCAGAAAGAAGTGGAGAAATAAACCAAGACATCACTGAAATAGAACATATTAAAAAAAAATGTCAACTACCGCAAATCAGGAAGCAAAAGTCCTTTCAATGTTCCATGTAGAAAATTATTTTAAGTAAGTCCTTCCACTTTATACCATCTCCTCCCATATATCCAATAGGTCATTTAGAATTATAACATACCGATTTTTATCAGTTCAGACCACCTGACACCCTCCTGTCCCTCGGCCACAAGAGAGAAACCAATGGTCCCACCGACAATACAATGGGTACCAGAAATGGGAAGCTTCAAAAACGAAGCCACTAGTTGCCACACAGCAGAACCTGAAACACACAGTCAAGTTTTATTAAGTCAGCAGTCAAATTCCATCATGTGATTGGGGATTCTGCGGGAAATAATGAAAGGTCCAACAGGAGAATGGAAACAGCCAGCATGCAAATCCACTCACCCATCCATCCCCCAAAGCTACTTACCAAACATAGCACTGATGGAGCCGGCCATCAGCTGCTGGGTCGAGTTGTACATATCCACATCAATCAAGCCCCTCCGGATGGTTTCACTCACTTTGGCTCCCAGTAAGACAGAGCCCACGGTTTCAAAGATGCTAGCTAGGATGCAGGCTTGCTTCAGGGTCACTACACCTGAGCCCACGGCTGTACCAAAAGAATTTGCTACATCATTGGCTCCCACGGAGAAAGCCAAGACAAACGCAATAATGAAGCCCAGGATAAGCATCCATAGCGGATCCGAAGTGACAATGGTACTGATGGTAGTGGCCACGGTCGATGCCACAGTCGATGCCACGGTCGATGCCATTCTCAAGTAGTGGTTTTGAATGAATAGGGATATTACTGCGCGGTTTTCAGGACGTGTAAACAGAAAATGAGGTATCAAAATACTCTAATAAATAATATATATTATGTAAAATTAAATACTGTAAATAACGGCACAGAAACCGAGCTGGGAAGTTACTGCTATACGCTGCTGCGTCGGGGTGTCTGTTGTCTGTGGGGTCTTTGGCGCCGGAGGGCTACAAGCACCGGGCAGAATTCCATGGCGAAGAAGAGCAAGGACGCGTGTTCATCCTGTACGGGAGGAAGAACAACAATAGCAGCGCGCCACTCCACTCGGGGGGCCAGGCCGGCACCTGGCGTGGCACCAGGGACCCGGGCAGGGTGCGCCAGGGCGGCGACGCAGGTGGCGTCGGGTTCCCCCTAAGCCCGCGCGCGCCCTCGCGGCGAAAACCGGAAAAGAGCCGTTCCCGCGCGCACGCCGCCCGGGTACCGCCAAAAAGGCTCGCGGGTGGGCGGAAAAGGGAAGGGGGTGGCGGGCGGAAAGCAGACAGTCGAAGTGCGCGTCGCCGGGTGGCGAGAGGAGGGGATTCGCTGGCCACACCGGGCCATTCGGCCACCTTCGGTGGGCCTAGCGTCCGCACAAGGCGCCAATAAGGAAGAACCTTTCCAAAGTGGCTCCACACTCACCAGAGAAGACGACCGGCCGAACAGTAGACGAGAAGTCCGGACTGCGGCAACGGCGGCGAGGCTGAAGGCTCGCACGCACACACTTGGCCGGCGAGTGGACGGACAACCGCGAGCCGAGGCACCGGAGGTTCGGCTGAACTCAGGACCCACCCGGGAAATACCCGCGATACCCTCAGCAGCCACGAGAAGGGAGCACGCAGCGCTTGCCGGCAGCCATCACTCTAGCGATGCATGCTGCTAGCCGTCTACTTATAGCACGCCCGTCGACCCATGTGACCCACCTCTCCTCGCGCCAGCCCCGGAGCCCCACCCCCATGATGACGCAACACCAGCTGGCCCAGAGTACACAGCCGACTGAGTCTTACGACTACACTCATTGGTCGGATCTCCATTGCCAGCCACGCCTCCAGGCGGGAGCTGCCCACGTGGGAAGGTCTAGCCCCTTCCCAGTGTCTGGAGGTCTAGGGGTCCCCTCGCCCTGTTACGAGAGATCGCCATGTAAGGTTATAGAGGCTGCGATCCTAATCGTTTCTCGTTCGTCCACAAACCTAACGGGCCCTGTTTTACTATAATGGTTGCGCCTTAAGCCACACTTTCCGCACACTGGTGACCTGCCGCGGCCACGCCGAACACACTTCCCTCCCATCAGCCGGATGACGCTGTGGGAGAGCTCTCCCGCCCTGCGGCTCTGGATCTAGTGCTGGCACGATGTCGCACCTGTGACTTGCCCTTGGCTAGACAGGCACCGTCCGGCGTCTGCGGGAGGGCTCACGTGGTCGCTGTGCTCTCGCAGTCATGCACTTACTTGGGTAAAAACAGTGAAGAGTCACGAGAACCGGCTGTGTCTCCAGTTATGGCGCAGAGCCCCAGAAGGACTGTGGGCCATTAATTTTCCGATGACAGGCGCATCTTCTGAGCAGCGGTTGTGGTGCGGCGGGCGGGGAGAGTGAGGAGAGACACTGGTTCAGATTCCAATTCTAACTTTCCTGCTTGCTGCAGTGTGTCACCTTGAGCAAGTCCCAAATTTCTCAGCCTGCATTCTTACGAATATAAGATGTTACTGTAACTACCTTATGGTGGGAATTGAATGACTTAACATGTGAATGTTATTGAATTCAAATGTTCAGTAAGTGTTCATTTCCATCTTAAACTTTCAGTAAATACCTCTTTTTTATGGGGAACAGGGTGATTCTGTGGAATAAGGACTGGATTGTGAACCACAAGGTGGGCAACTCGACCCCACCATTCACTCTGAGAGAAAGATAAGGCTTTCTGCTCCAGCAAAGATGGGGAGCCTGTATGAGTCCAATTCCGTGGCCCAACGATTCCATGGCCCAACAACCTGTCTTAGGATGTGGGAAAAGTGTGAAGGGGATGTTCTCTTTGCATCTCTTAGAAGCTTTAGAGGTTAAGATTGGTTTCCAGAAACAATGTTGTGTGTAGGCAAGTCGGTTCTGACTCATAGTGACCCTGTGTAGGGTTTCTGAAAGCAGCTGGTGGATTTGAACTGCCAACTTTAATGTTAGTAATCCAGTGCTTATCCTACAGTGCCACACCAGGGCTCATTTCTGCCCAGAAACAATAACATGGTACGAGAAGCTGGGTTCTATGAAGAAAAACATGGCGTCAGGATTGGAGGAAGACTCATTAACAACCTGTGATATGCAGATGATACAACCCTGCTTGCTTAAAGTGAAGAGGACTTGAAGCATTTACTGATGAAGATCAAAGAACACAGCCTTTGGTATGGGTTGCATCTCAATGTCAGGAAAACAAAAATCCTCACCACTGGACCAATAAACAACATTCTTACCAATGGAGAAAAGATTGAAGTTGTCAAGGACTTCATTCTTCTTGGATCAACTATCAACACTCATGGAAGCAGCAGTCAAGAGATCAGAGGCCGTATTGCATTGGGCAAATCTGCTGCACAGGAACTTTTTAAAGTGTTGAAGAGCAGAGATGTCAGCTTGAGGACTAAGGTGCGCCTGACCCAAGCCATGGTATTTTCAATAACCTCATATAGATGCGAAAGCTGGACAGTGAATAAGGAAGACCGTAGAAGAATTGATGCCTTTGAGTTGTGGTGTTGGAGGAGAATACTAAATGTGCCGTTCCCTCCCCAGGGAGTACAACCATTTTTTGTGAGGTGGTGGAGCAGCCTGAGAAGGATCTAGGTAAGAAATACAGACCAGGCCCCTTTAAGTGGGTTTCAGGAAGTGGGAGTATACAGCCATGGAAATGCAAACGGAATTCCTTTACCTTACAAATAATTTCAGTTGGAGTTCTAAGAGTCTAGAATGGTAGTATCCTTCCTCTGTAGGGTTATACTCAAAGTGCCTCTGCTAACCAAGCTGTAAAGACAAAATGAGGGATTAAGGGTACTCCTCTCAAATGACATATTGCTTTAGGCAAATCCACACAAGACCTCTTTAAAGTGCTCAAGAGCAAAGATGACAGTTTGAGGACTAAAGTGCATCTGACCCAAGCCATAGTATTTTCAATAACCTCACATGCATGTGATGGTTGGAAAGTGAATAAGGAAGATTGTAGAAGAATTGGTAACATTTGAGTTACTGTGTTGGAGAATATTAAGATACGATGGACTATACCGTAAGAAAAAACAAATCTGTGCTGGAGGAAGTACAACTGAATGCTCCTTAGAAGCCAAGATGGCCAGACTTATTTCTCGTTTGTTTTTGTTAAGTGCTGTTGAGTCAGTTCCCAGCTAATTGTTGTTGTTGTTGTTAAGTGCCGTCGAGTCGGTTGCGACCCTGTACAGGGTTTCCGAGGGTGTAAATCTTTACGGGAGTAGAAAGCCTCATCTTTCTCCCACAGAGCAGCTGGTAGTTTCGAACCGCTGACCTTAAGGTTCGCAGCGTGGCTTGTGAATTTGAACCACCAACCTTGTGGTTCAAACAGACCTTGTGATCCAGTGCTTATCCTATAGCACCACACCAGGGCTCCATACTAATATGTCTCTCACACTTTGAACATATCAGGAGGGATAAGACCCTGTTGAAGAACATCATGCTTGGTAAAATGGAGGGTCAGCGAAAAAGAGGGAGACCCCCAAGGAGATGCACAGTGGCAGTAGCAATGGGCTTCAAGTATAGCAGCAGTTGTGAGGCTGACTTAGGATCAGGCATTGTTTCCTTCTGTTGTGCATAGGTTTGCTATGGGTTGGAACCGACTGGATGGTACCTTCAGGACATGACCCTTGGAGACTTGGATTTGCCCTGGCCTGGGCTCCTTCATCCTCACATTGTAGTGGCCAGGTAGAGCTGTGCCTTTGGAGAGACGTTATAGTGGTGGTGGTTATGTGCTGTGGAGTCGCTTCCGACTCATAGCGACTCTGTACAGGGTTTCCGAGGCTGTAAATCTGTAATAACCTGAAAATGGCACTGGTTCTAGCCTTGTTGCTGAGCACTGTGGGAAGTGAGTGGCCATCCTAATGATAGCACTGTTGTTTTTGCTGTTATGTGCCTTTGTCAAGTCATTCAAGGAATAGCTGGTGGGTTTGAATCACCGACCTTGCAGTTAGCAGTCCAGTGCTTATCCTACAGTGCCACACCAGGACTCCATAACACTACTCTGTGAAAGTCAAGGAATTGAGAAAAGCATACGCTAAGATTTTAGAAAGACTATTTGGAGTCCTGGTGTGGCGCTGGGGGTTAAAGCACTAGACTGCAAGGTCGGGTTGAATCACAAGTTTGGTGGTTCAAACTCACAAGCCACTCCTTGGAAACCCTGTACGGGGTTGCTATGAGTCAGACCCAATTCCATGGCACTTAACAACAGCAACAATAATTTGGTACAGGGGTTAAGGACACAGATTGTAAAAACCAAACAAACTGCTCTGCTCCTCCACTAGTAATATGACCTGGGACAAATAAATTTTCTGTGCCTCAGTTTCCTTATCTGTAAAGGGAGAGATCTAGAGTTAAGCACTGGACCACATGGTCAGAATTGCAAGGTGGGTGGTTCAAGCTCACCAGCTGCTCCTTGGAAACCCTATACAGGGTCACTTATAAGTTGAAACTGACTTGATGAGACTTAACAACATCATAGGCCTTTTGGCTAATGCACTGGACTGCAAAGTTGGTATGAACTGCAAGGTCAGTGGTTCAAGCTCATCAGCTGCTCCTAGGAAACCCTATACAGGGCTACTATGATTCAGAACCTACTCAACGGTACTTAATAACAACTAGGTGGCTCAATGCATACCTGCTGTTGTTAAGTGCTGTCTAGTTCTTCTGGTTGGTTCTGAGGACACTTAACAACAACAAGTTGGTTCTGACTCAGCAATCCTGTATACGATTTCTAAGGAGCAAC